TCTAGTTTGCTTTTTTGTGAGTTAAAAAATTACTGGACAGCCATTTTGGAAAGTTATTTTCCTTGAAAATAATCAATATTAATTTTCGCAAGTTAACGAAAATGTTATAATTATTTGATCATTAATGTCACGGAATTTTTGTTATTCCAGATGGAAAGCAAATCCAAATACAGCTCCGTGCAGTCCCCTGGTAGCCGGACATAACATGAAAGTAATGTTATCAGGAAAGAGGGTGAAGTTTAATGGTTCTTGGGAAGGAACTGAGGACAGACTATAGCTAAAGCTCTGAAAGGCAGCACTTCTGTAGAAAAGAATAATCTCCGCTTATGCAGAACATGAATATTTAGCAACAGTAAAAACGAAAGCCATGCTATTTTTGTTGCTGTTTTTGTTATTGATGCTCTTTTTATTCCCTTCCTCTCTACATTAAGTTTGTAGAGGCTTATGAAGTTTCCCACCCCCACTTTTTCCTGCAAAATTGATTCTATGGAGAGGAACCTGAGACTTTAGGAAGGGGACCCTTTTTGAAGGGAACCACTGACTGAAGATGTCCCCATTAGTCCTCCAGAAGAGACGAAGAACTCTGAAAACGGAGAGTAGCAGTCCAGAGCAACATAGGAACCCTCCCACTCCCAGGATGGAAATACTTGTGATCAACCTATGTTAGAATCACCTGAAGAGTGAAGCGAAAAGTTGTGTCATGCTCCAGGTAGGAATTGTATAGCGATTGCCTATTGACTCTGATGTCTGAAACTGAGGCTTCAGTGTGGCAAAAAAGCCAGGAGGACTGATAAGAGAGAAAATGGAAGGAACGGAAAGAATGTAATTAGAATGTAGTTTATCTCTGATTTCAATGGAAATGAAGAAAAAATAATAACAAAATAAAAATTGGGATTTACTGTTTGCTTGCTTCATGTATGATCTGCATCTACAACTGTATCTATATTTCTACCTTTCTACATCTATATTTATAAATTTGATCTAATTGTCTTTGTGTGTGTGTTTGTGTATACTTTAATTCTGATATTGTCTTTTTTTTTTTGAGACAGAGTCTTGCTCTGTCACCCAGACTGGAGTGCAGTGGCACCATCTCGGCTCACCGCAACATCCACTTTCTGGGTTCAAACAATTCTCCTGCCGCAGCCTCCCTAGTAGCTGAGATTATAGGTGCATGCCAGCATGCCCAACTAACTTTTGTATTTTAGTAGAGACAGGGTTTCACCATGTTGGCCAGGCTGGTCTCGAACCCCTGACCTCAAGTGATCCACCCACCTCGACCTTCCAAAGTGCTGGGATTCTTGACAGAGTCTAAAAACTATGGGCAGACTATGCAGAGCAGTGACAGCAAGATAGAAAAGGCATGATTGCATGCAACTGATCACAGGGAGAACTGGTTTATAGTTGCATATACAAAATTAATCTACTTTCTTGGCAACTCTTGTTTTTCTTTAAGTGGGTCTAATAATCAGTTAAGTATTTAATCTTTTTTCTTTTAGATCTATGAAGAATATGAAGTTGTTTAATCCAGTTATTGCTTTTTTTCTACTTACTCATTAACAAGAATTCTATTAAATGCAGAAAAGCTTTTTTGAAGAAAGAATTTAAATTATACTAAAATGTATTTCAGTTTTCTTGAAAATATATCAAAGTGACTTTTTTCCTAGAGGAAAATAAAAATGAGGTTTCAACTTGACTTTTAAAGTATTTTCTTAGCAATTTTTTGGTGAATATGGTGCTAAGTATACTCGTGGCTGTAACAACATATCTCTGTATTTTCAAGAAATTGTTTATTCACTAGGAATATTTGTATTTGTTTTATTTTCAATTTCTTAACCATTTGTAGTTTAAGTAGAGGGCCACAGGATGTATGAAGTTGGTTTTATATTTTTCATTCACTTTTTAAAAATGATTCTTAAAAATATGTCTTATAAAAGTATTTTGCTCTATGCCATGGTCTTCTCCAGCAAGTATTGGAGATCTAATTGCTGTTTCTGAGCAAAGACATGCAAAGAGGTGCATGGTTATTATTGTTGCACCTTCTCCCATGTGACAAGCCCCTCTTCCTCCAGTTGAAGTGACGTTCAGGGTCATGAAAATGCCAACATCCTTCTTCCTTGCTTCATTTTTCTCTTTTTTCCCCCTTTACAAGCTAGGCATTAAGGACTAAGACATTAAAAAACAAATACATATATGAAGAAAGTTAGAAAGTGATCATGTATCACCAGGGAAGGTTGCAGGTTCAGAAAAGACTGAGAGTACTTTAAGTTTCCACCTCAGCCTGATGCTTGGCACAGAATCTACAACAAAAAGATAAATAAATACAAACAAAAACAGTGAACGCCAGGGGCAGCATGAAAATCTGATTTCCAGACTTAGTACACGATTGGATTAAAATTTTCAGTTTTTAGCAAAAAATTACCAAGTGTAGAGAAATAGGAAACTGGCCCATTCAAAGAAAAAATAAATGAATAAACAGAAACTCTCTCCAAAAAAGATTTGATTGAAGAACTACTAAACAATGCTTTAAAGTAACTCTCTTAAAGATGCTCCAAAACTACCGATGCATGGAAAGTTAAGAAAATGCAGGATGAACAACAGAAAATTATCAATAAACAGATAGAAAAACTAAAAGAAATTTGGAGCTGAAAAGTACGATCACTGAAATAAAATTTACAAGAGCAATTCAAAGACAAATTTGAATAGGCAGAAGAAAGAAAGTTATCAGCAGATTTCTCTTCAGAAACTTGAGGCCAGAAGGCAGTGAGTTAGTATATTCAAAGGGCTAAGAGATAAAAACAAAACAAAAAACAGAACTAAGAATCCTACATCCACCAAAACCTTCTTCAAAAGAAAGGGGGAAATTAACACATTCCCAGATAAACAAAAGCTGAGGTTAATCATTACTAGTCCTATCTTGCAAGAAATGCTTACGGAAATCCTGCAGGGTGGAAACATTAGAAAGTAATTCAAAACAATGTGTATAAATAGAAACTCAATAAAGGTAAATCTATGAGCAATTATAAAAACGAACATAATTGTAACAAGAGTTTGTACTTCTACATTTTGTTTTCTACATGATTTAAGAGGTTAACTCATTTTAAATGAAACAATTATTAGTCTAAATGCTAATAGAAATGTAACTTTGGTTTGTGACTCCACATTTTGTTTTCCACATAATTTAGAAACTAATGCATTTTTTAAAAGTTATTAGTTTATCTTGGGGGACACACAATATATCAAGGTGTAATCTTATGATGTCAACTACTAAGAGGGTTGGACATGGTGGCTCACACCTATAATCCTAGCACTTTGGAAGGCCAAGGTGGGAAGATTGCTTGAGCTCAGGAGTTTGACACTAGCCTAGGCAACATAGTGAGACTCCGTCTTTACAATTGTTTTTTAATTTAAGGAATTAGCCATGTATGGTGCTGCATGCCCATACTTCTAGCTATGCAAGAGGCTGAAGTAGTTGTATCACTTAAGCCTGAGAGGCGGAAGCTGCAGTGAGCCATTATTGCACCACCGCACTCCAGGCTGGGCTATGGCGCAAAACCCTGTCTCAAAAGAAAAGAAAAGAAAACAAGCCAAAAAACCAACTATAAAGTGTGAATATTGAGCTGTAAAGGGAGCAGAGATTGTGCATGTTATCAAAGTTAAGCTGGTGTAAATTCAAATTAGAGTATTTTAATTTGAGAATCCGAGATGCAATTTTCATAGTAACCACAATTAGGGAGCTTAGAAGATGTACAAAAGGAAATGAGAAAGAAATTTAAACACTTCTCTACAAAAATGAATCAAGTAAACACAAAAGAAGACAGTAATGCAAAAAAATAGGTACAAAAATCTATAAAGCATTTATAAAACAAATGACAAAAATAACATAAGTATGCCCCTCTCTATCAGTAATTGCTCTAAGTGTCAATTGGTTAAACTCTCCAATCAAACGGCAAATTGGCACAATGGATTAAAAGCCACCTGGACCACCTATATGCTATCTACAAGAGACTCACTTTTGAGCCAAAGGCATAAATAGATTGAAGATACAAAATGAAAATAGATGATATTCCATGCAATAAAATACCAAAAGAGAGCAGGAGTGGCTATACTGTAATAAGAATGATAAATTTTAAATTAAAAATTATGTGAGAAAATAAGGAAATCATAATTAATAAAAGTTTCAATGTACCAAGAAGATACAATAATTATAAGCATACACCTAATAACAGACCATCAAAATATTCAAAACCAGGGCTGACAGAATTGAAGTGAAAAACAGTTCTATGGTAATAGATTAAAACTGTAATGCCCTCCCCCCCAATAATAGATAGATCGACCATACAAAAGATAAGTAAACATATGGAGGACTTAACACAATATACCAACTCAATCTAATGGACGTATACAGAACACTCTACCCTGCAACAACAGCATACACAACCTTCTCAAATGCACACAAGACATTTTTTCAGGATAGACCTGGAATTAGGCCACAAATCTCAATAATGAGATTTCTTAAATAAGATCTCTTAAATCTCAATGCATTTCAAAGATAGATATCACACAAAGTATCTTCTCTGACCAAAATATGATGAAGTTATAAATCTGTAACAGATATAAAATGAAAAATTACAAAACCATGGAACTTAAGCACACAACCTTCACCAATGTAAATCACAAGGAAAATTGGAAAATTAAAAATAACAGAAAACAAAAACAAAATAGAACAGAACGTATGAAACAGCAAAAGCAGTGCTAAAGGGAGAAGTTTATAGGTACGGAAGCTTACATTTAAAAGAACAAGAAAGGGCCAGGCACGGTGGCTCATGCCTGTAATCCCAGCACTTTGGGAGGCTTAGGCGGTGGAACACGAGGTCAAGAGATTGAGACCATCCTGGCCAAGATGGTGAAACCCCGTCCTAATAAAAATACAAAAATTAGCTGGACGTAGTGATGTGCACCTGTAGTCCCAGCTACTCAGGAGGCTGAGGCAGGAGAATTGTTTGAACCCGGGAGGCAGAGGTTGCAGTGAGCCAAGGTCGCACCACTGCACTCTAGCCTGGTGTCTGGTGACAGAGTGAGACTCTGTCTCAAAAAAAGAAAAGACCAAGAAAGGCATGTTGGCTCATGCCTGTAATCCTACCATTTTGGGAGGCTAAAGTGGGCAAGTCATGAAATCCCCTGTAATCCCAGCTACTTGGGAGGCTAAGGTAGGAGAATCACTTGAACCCAGGAGGTGGAGGTTGCAGTGAGCTGAGATCACATCACTGCACTCCAGCCTGGGCTACTGAGTGAGACTCATCTCACAAATAACTACAAAAAAAAAAAAAAAATATAAAAAATATATATATATATATATATATATATATATATATAAGGTTTTGTGACTAGGTGTATCATTGGGGATAAGTATATGTATGGCACTGTACCTTTGCTGTTAAAACAAAATCAAAGTTCTTCGCATTTTGTGTAATGTTTAGTTAATGGTATAGTATTTCTTTTCATATTAATTAACAACAGTAGAAAAACTCACTTTAAATTCACTGGGTTGCCTAATTTACACATGCAGAGAACTTAACTTCTTTAGTTATTATTTATTGTAGACCTAACATGGACAGACACTAATCTTGGTGTGCAGAATACTGCCAAGAATAAACCCAATTTCCTACTATAATGTAACTTGCATTCTAAAGGAGAAGTGATAATTGTCAAACACATGTGTAATATATCAACTAAATATATTACAGTATATCTACATTATACAAACCGTATACAATATAGCCATTGTAATGTAGCAGTTGAACACATTACTCAGGTGTTGGTGAGGCTGGTGAAAACCTACTTGTTCTTCCAGTCATGTAAAAGCATAGCATATATAGTTACGTGCAGTAAATAATACTTGATAATAAATACAAACACTATATTACTGGTTTACATATTTACTATACTATACAATTTGTTATCAGCTTAGAGTGTGCTCCTTCTAGTTATATTTATTTTTTATTTTTGAGATGGAGTTTTGCTCTTGTTGCCCAGGTTGGAGTGCAGTGGCACGATCTCAGCTCACTGCAACCTCTGCCTCCCAGGTTCAAGAGATTCCCCTGCATCAGCCTCCTGAGTAGCTGAGACGCCCAGTACCACACCCAGCTAATTTTTTTTATTTTGAGTAGAGACGGGGTTTCACCATGTTGACCAGGCTGGTCTTGAGCTCCTGACCTCATGATCTGCCCGCCTCGGCCTCCCAAAGTGCTGGGATTACAGGCACGAGCCACAGCACCCGGAATAGTTATATTTATTTTTAAAAAGGTAACTATAAAAAAGCTCCAGGCAGGTCCTTCAGCAGGTCTTCCAGAAGAAGGCCTGATTATTACAGGAGATGATGGCTCCCTGAGTGTTATTACCCCTGAAGATCTTCCCCTGGGACAAGATGTGTAGCTGATATGAACAATCACACTAATTAAACAGCAATATTAGTGATCCTGATCCTGTGTAGGCCCAGGCTAATGTGTTTTTCTCTTCGCTTTTAACAACAACAAAAAAATGTGTAACAGGTTAAAAATAAAAAAGTTTAACAATGGAAAAAAGCTAATAGAATAAAGATAGAAAAAATAATTTCGTACAGCTTTAAAGTGTGTTCATGTTGTAAGCTAAGTATTGTTTCAAAAGAGTCATTAAAATTTAAGTTTATAAAGCTAAAAAGTTAAAATAAGTCAAAGTTATTTTGTTATTTAAGAAATAATTTTAAAAAATATTTAGTGTGTCCCACTTTCACAGTGTTTATAAAGTCTACGGTGGTATATAGTTAATGTCCTAGGCCTTCACATTCACTCACCACTCACCCACCTACTCCCTCAGAGCAACTTCCAGTCCTGTAAGTTCCTTTCATGGTAAGTGTCCTATATAGGTATATTATTTTTTATCTTTTATAATGTACCTTTACTGTGACTTCTCTATGTTTGAATATGTTTAGACACACAAACACTTACCATTGTGTAACAATTGCCTACAGTACAGCAACACGCTGTGCAGGTTTGTAGCCTAGAAGCAGCCTAGGTGTATAGTAGGCTACGCCCAGGTTTATGTAAGTACACTCTGTGATGTTCACGCAACAATGAAATCACCAAATGATGCATTTCTCATAATGTAGCCCCATTATTAAGTGATACATGACGGTATATCAAACGTGTGTGAGGAGCAGAAAGACGCTACCTGGAAAAAGTAGGAATATGGAGAGTGTCAGGCAGATATGGTCAGAAGGTACAGCTAGGTGAATGATGAGGGCAATATGATGTTGGTTAAGGATTTTGACTTTTATTTGGAATGATGTAGAAAGTCATTAGCCGTTAATATTTTTGACCAGAAGATCTGTCCAACTACCTTGATGATAATAGAACAAGAAGCGCCAAAGGAGAAAATAGAGGATCCGTTGAGGCTAACTGTCATAGTCAAGATATTGAGGGCTTTAGACTCCAGCTGTGGTGGTGGTAGAGAAGGTAAGAAGCAGTCAGTTAGAGTTCGTAACCAAATTGAAGACACAGCCGGTGGATTTTTTTGGTGTCTTGAGTGCGTGTTGTTAGAGAATTAGGGGAGCCAGGATAACGACTTTGTATTTTATTTGAGAAACTTGAGGATGGTTGCCCACATCATAGATGAAGAACGGTCAATGGTTTAATTTCTCTTAAAAAATTCAAGGAGAAAATTATTGTTGTTGGGCATAAATTCGAACACTCAAAATGATAAAATCTGATTATATAACATATTGGAAAACTTTTTAACCAGAACAAACTTTAATTGCATTTTTGTCAAGGATCAGTTTAAATGACTCATGAGGAAAACAGACTATTAGTATCTTTTTACTTGATATTCTACAGGAAAAATAAATGTATTGGGAATCCAGGCACATATGCAACAATATTGCTTAAACTGCTCTAAAATTATTTTGCCAATCAAACAAAATTACTCAACAATTTATAGTCACTGATGGGTAGTTAAATCAGAACAGATGCATCATTCTGGAAACATAATCTACATTGCCTCTTATCCAAAAGATGTACATAATAATTGATAGACCAAATTTGCATAATGAGAAAATCAAGATGTATAAGAAGAAATAATTATTTTTGATGATGTTGGTAACTTCAATTTAATTATAAACCATTTAGTTTAGTAATATATATCCATAAGTTTCTAAGAACATAATGTTTAAAATGAAATGTACCCCAAATGAATTTAAATTTGTTATAAAGCATTACATCTATTGTTTAAAGATAATTCAATTTAGCCTAACTACAAAGAGTGTGATATGTGAGTTAAAACTATTATCTTTTCTAATATTATGGTTAGCAATTAAAATTGGATATTTCTTATTGAATCATACATTCAATGCCTGACAGTAATATTATTGAAACAGTTAACTTGTTTTATAAATAGAAATACAAAATAAAAAGAAAGTCACAAGTAGTACTGAAAATGTATGGATTACTTACAAAGAGTATGTTTTAAAGAATTACAATAAAAATCTTTATGCATACATACATACAACATTGTAATCTTTGCACATGACTTTTTTAAAGTCCAGGGTCTTGAAAGATGAAATATCACAATATTTTCGTTTCTAACAATAATTGTTTTTCTTCCTTTTTGTAAAAGCACAACATCAGAAAGTAATCATTTATTTATGGTTCATTATAGTGTATAGAATTATTATCTAATATTGATTATTGACATGAAACTGTGTTTTCTGCAAGGTTTAGAGCAGGCAAACATGAAATGCTTGATTTGGGAACCACATCAAAAAAAAAGAATTTCTCTTAACGTAGAACATGTAGAAAGTGGGCTTTATATATAGTATACATATATATGCACACATATAGAAATCTGTACACATATAGATTTGTGTGCATATTTATGTGTATATACACACATATATGTGTATATATATATATATAAAAATTATATATACAATACTAAATATATATCATTTTTTCCAGTATTTGTAATTCTGATATCACGAAAATTAGATAAGGCATAAGAAATGTATATTTTAAAAAATTTAAATAACTTTATTTAAATTTTTATGCTGCATTCAGCAAAGATTTTTTCAAACATCTTATTTTAAACATATTTCTTCATTGAATATTTGATAACAAAAGAAGCAAACAAAAAATTGCTATTGACAATGTGGGGCCAGGCAAAAATGTAAGTTTTAGGTTTATAAAAGAGAGAAATAAAATCTTTTCGCTGCCGTATTGAACTTCAGTGTTTACAAATGTCATTTGTTTTTATTTTAAAGAAAGGCTAACACTGGTCATCAGTCAAAAGTATTTTGAAGGCTTATGCTTTCCTATGCTAAAACTTTTACTAAATATATTAAGTAGCCACACAATCAATGTATGTGAAGTAAAGAAATGCAGATTAAACCATTGGTGGATACAGATACAGGAAATACATGTAGTGAGAAGATTGACAGAGTCCAAACATTTTAGCAAATTATATTCTGCTAATATTGAGTGTTTTAAACATGCCATTCCAATGTCCATTGGATCCCATTCTTTTGGATAAGAAATTAGTTGTAACTCTGATCATTGTTCTATAATCTTTTTTCTCAGATTATTTCTTTTCTCTTTATCAGTGTTTTTCAGAAATTTAATTATGAAGTGGCTTTGTGTAATTTCGCACTTCCCCTGCACCAACCCCATGGTTTGTTAAGATTTTTGGATCTGCATCCTTATATTTCATCATTTTTCGAAATTTACAGACACTTTTTTTTCAAATAAATTTCCCAACTTCATTTTTCTTTTGATACTCTACTTACATCATTTTAGATGGCTTGTTTTTATCTTACAAGTTACAAAGGACATCTTATTTTTTTCAGTCTTTTGAAATTATTATTCAGAGTTTCACATTTTATATTTTCTATTGGAGTGTTTTGAAGTTAATTGATCTTTCTATTGCCTAATGTGCTGTATTAATCAGCTGTCTGTTTCTGTAACTAAATACCTGAGACTGGGTAATTTATAAAGAAAAGAGATTAATTTAGCTCATGATGCTAGCAACTGGAATGTTCTAGAGCATAGCACTGGTATCTGCTGAGCTTCTGGTGAGGGCCACATGCTGCATCACAGCACAGTCAAGAAGCAGAAAGGTAAGTGGGCATGTGCAAAGAGAGACCAAAGATGAGAAGTGTTCTTGCTTTATAACAAACAGCTTTTGTGAAAACTAATCTATTTCAACGATAGCCAGTCCAGTCTCAAGAGAGGAATAACTCAATACCGCAAGAATGACACCAACCCACCCATGAGGGTGGATATCCCATCACCAAAATGCCTCTCGTTAGCCCTCACCTCTTAAAAGTTCCAGCTCCAACATTGCTGCACTGGAAATTAAGATTCCAACCTTAGTTTTGTCAGGAATGCTAAAACCACAGCATAGGCTAATAAATGTATCTGATAAACTTCTGATTTGTGATACTATAATTTTCAGGTCCATAATTTCCACTCCGTTAATTTTTACATCTTTTTTTGTTTCTAACCTCATTATGTTAATGTTATCTTTTAAATCTTTAAGCATATTTATGACAGATGTTTTAATGTCTTTACCTGCTTCTTCTCTCTTTATTAGCTAAATATTTCTATTGCTGGACATTGTGAATTACCTGTGACTGTCAGTATTTTGTTAACTTCTTCTTTAAATGTTTAA